ACGGCATTTTTCCGAAAAACTGAGAGAAATTGATCAGAATTCCGTCCAGGACCTCATGAGAGACTTTTGAAGAAAATTGCGTCTGGTAGAACAGAATGGGCCACTCCACATAATTCGATAGTATTGTTTAGTTAAGTATTGAGTTGTAATTTATGATAACTAGTTAGTGTTTAATAAATTTCTTCATTAAAAAAAAGATAAATAATTTGTGATAAAATTTCTAGGACATACGTTATTACAGTTTATCATTTTGGAGTCTATATTTTCTTCTCAAAGATGGAAGATGCGCATGTTCAGAAAGCAGCTCAACAGATACGTTTATATTAGGTACAATAGAGAGTACTTCATACAATTCTTTAAACTTGCTTCAAGTAAAATAGAAAATGAGGTATAAGAGGCAGTATGAAGCGTTTAGTTTTTGTGGAGATTAGTTCATCCACTCATAGTCCATTACAATATTGTACGAGTATGTTTCTACAAAACAAAGTCGATAGGGTTACAAAACGGATACTGGTGATTGTTATTTTATCAAATCCAGAAAACTAAATAATTCATGAAATATGTTTTTAGGATATGTATTAATGAAAATATGAACATTGGAATCTGGGATGTTCACAACCCATTATGCAAATACATATTTTCAAAATATATTCCCAAACGAATATACTGAATATAACCAATATTTATTGGTCGAAAAATCAAGTTGGGAAATTATAGTTTTGTATGAATGAATGAATCGTGAAATTAGACGCATTCCGGCCACTAAAAGGGGCCAGCGCGTAGGGAGCTTACCCGGGCCCGTATGGACCTCTACATTCCTTAGACCTCAAGCCTCGCTTTTCTAGCGAAGTTGAGTATGGCATTGAGTCCAAGCTCCTTGACGTCCTGGGTAAGTATAGTCTGCTTGTAGTAGCTCAGAGACTATAGACACGCAAGGGATCCTCAGACAACAGTACTACCAACAACCTTAGGTTGGCTCTATTCAAGGATAAGCAGAAACGTCCATCCTTAGCGCTGGGCCCTACAATGAGTTCCCGTGCCTGATGCAGATGTCTGGAGATACTTCTCCATTTCTGAGAATGTTGTCTTGCAATCAACTTCTATATTTTCCTCCTAACTATTTCCGCGGGCACTGCTAAAGCTGGCTCAGGACCAACGAGTTGGTGGCTGATCTTGTTTCCGCCAGAGCGTCCGCCGTCTCATTGCCCTTAACCCTTAACCTACCATGTGAGTCATCTGGACGCAAAGATCCATGTGGGGTGTCACAGACCACTAACTGGGCAGATAGTAAAACAAGTTATTTTTTGGATATAATTTATTATTGTTATGTATAAAGTAATAGGGATCCTACTACTACATGTAAATGAGGAAAAACGGTTTGTTTCTAAATTGGTTTCCGGCAACAACAAATATCTGGAAAACTATATCATAACTTGACCTAATTAAACATGTATTCTTAAAAGCTCACAAAAAAACGTTAGCGACCTTAGTAGGAAAATATGTGTCTGAAACATTTTTTAGGAACCTAAGCTATATAAAAAATGGAACTCAAAGGAAAATAACACTGAAATGCTCCTCTAGCAGAAACTAATCAACCGTCTCTTTTGCGCAAGTGTTGCATAGAGGCTTTGAGCACTGCAATCAAATCGCCCGTCTACACTGCACACAGAGATACTTTATCTTGCTGTTTTGCTGCAGGACACAAATAGGATGCTTTACGTGTTGTAAGCAAAAGCTCCCCTTCATTCTGTGTTTCGTTTGTTTCCGGTAGCCTCAAAATACTACTAATATTGCTGCGTATTTCACGAGGCACTCGATCATTTGCTTGTCTTCTTTCCATATTTTCTCGAATTAATTCAGCACCCAGTTGTTCTGCAAATACTGATTTATCTTTTATCATCTCATTGTCTTTGAAAGCTTGATGCAAAATAAATGAATTTACAATAGATACATTAAGAATACGGAAGAATATTGCAAGCGGCCATCTACGTGTTTGCCGGCTTGTCGAACTTTTCGAGCATTTCTCGTCGAGTGTATCTACACCGCCTTTGGTCCGGTTATAAAAAGAAATTATTTCTGGCTTTTCGGTTTCAGGGTCGGTGTAGCGCCTATTGTGCATAGAAGAAACTAATAGTGTTGCTTTTCCTTTCTTTCCCACATAAGAAACCAAAGTCATATCTTCAAATCCATACAACGATGATCCTTCTTCTCTTTTCTTGTTTGGTAAGAATTCTGTTGGTACTTCTCGTTTATTTTTCTTTAGTGTACCTACGTAAGTTAGTCCATTTTTCATTAGCAGGTCAACAAGTTCTATAGAGCTGAAACAATTGTCAGCAGTTATATTTCTGTTAAGAAAAGAGGTTTTGCAAGACGTATCACTGATTGTGTCGGCTTAGAAAATCTTCTTTCTTCTGCAGGCAACCCAAAGCCATCAGAGTCTTTACCAGTATATATGTAGGCATTTTAGAGATAACTAGTTCTGGCGCCTGTAAGGCACATCACCTTTATCCCGTACTTACAGGGCTTGTTAGGCATATACATTTTGAAATGGACACGTCCTCTGAAACTAACAAGCATTTTGTCAATGGTTAGTGACTCCTCTATACCATAAAAATTTTGGCAATTTTCAATAGATTTATAAAATATTTCCGAAATTGCTGCCGCTGGGTCTTCTTTTTTACGAATCGATCTTGTAGCTGGGTCATCAAAACGCAAAGCAATCAAAAGAACTGCAAATCGATTCCGGCTCATTACTGCTTTGAATATATCTCGACCAGTTCCATCAGTAGCAAATATTGTATCGATACTTTCATGATTGGAATTGAATACTGATGTGTATATCAACAGACCAAGAAAAGCCTTCAGCTCAACTATATCGGTATATCTAAGGTGACTGATACTATTTGTATCAGCGTATCCTGAGCGCATTTGCGAAAGCTTCTGATTTGTCCATTCGAGAATCGGCTATAGGATTTCCGCAGACAAAAGTAAATTCCATGTGGCTATGGGACTTGCCTTGTTACCTAAATCGCGGGCTCGTCGAACCTTTGTCACCAAGTTGTGCTTCCTAGTTCGCGATGAAGGAACAACTTCGGTAGAGGACCATCTAAAGCGGTTTTTGCTATAGAAGTATTTATTGTCCGTCTGATGGGTGTCACTTTCTTGGTCACTATCACCGCCTGCCGAGAAGTCTGAGTCCGTGTCGTGTTCTGACGCAATATTTTCGTCCTCTGCAGCACTATCTATATCACTGGCAGTGTCGTCAAGTTCACTGTACCACTTGAGGACAGTTTAATCAAAATGTTTGTCACTTCACCGAACTCTTTTCGATGGACCGACCATATCGCAATTTAAACAATTTTCACATAAACGCACAGGTGACGTCTGGCAGACCCCGACACACCAAATAATGACTGTTTCGTCTTCAAATAAAGCGAACGCACTGAGCATCGTATGACTTGTCTGGCACCAATAGGCGAGAGATTAGGTGACCCGATTGGCCAGGAGGCGTTACTACCGTGGAAGATACGGGACAGTTTATTTACCGCGGGCTCTGTCAGACTCCACATGATCGGTTAAGGGTTAATCCCAGCGTGCCCCGGCACCCACATTAACGATACCGGATGCCTCGCTGCGATACAATCTAGAGCCTCTGCATTGCAATACAAGGCTCGAAGTAATCTTATAGGCATTTAGTGCCTTCAGTGCAGCCTGGCTGTCGGAGAAGATTGGTATTCTTCTCATAGGCCCTCCAAAATGCGGGATACAAAGCGAGAGTCGTAAAGATTTCCGCCTGGGAAATAGTGGTGTATCCACCAAGAGGCAGAAATAGCCTAAATTGTTTTGTAACGAGAGACATGAATATATTTTTCTAAGGCACCAAGGTCAGAATGCTATCAGAGTACAAAATCAAAAAGCCTGAAGACGTACCTTTTAATAGTAAGGTTTTCGCAGTGTTTGAGTTAACTTGTTGATTACATGATAAAATAATTAGATCGCTAAAATCAGTCATTTTTAATGGAATTGCAGGATAAAATTGATGTGATTCTCTAATCAATGAACGTTTCTCTACCTCCGATAATCTTAAAATAACCTTTAGAATAATTAAAAAGTATCAGGACATTTATAAAATTACATGATCAAACGAACTTACCTATAAGTGACGTTCGATCTTAATTATGTGAAATCCCTGTCGAAGTAAATATTTAGAACACAACGTACTACTCTCGTAGCTCACCAAACCCACGAGCTCAAAGTGTGCATATAGCGAAAAGAGCGACCTACCGTACCTGTCTGTCCCCTCTCCGTCCTATCAATTCTCATTTTATTCAAAGCTAAGTTGTTGCAACAATTGGGTGAAACATATATATATATATATATAAATGTCGCAGCCAACTAGCTTAATTAGCCGTTCAATAAACAGCCTAGCCTCTTTACCAAACAGCGCTGTTCAACTAGCGGCCTGAATGATGTTCAGCCGTAGCGGCTTTTACAGCATTTAATAAAGTGGCTGGAAAATGCTTAAGCCATACGTAGGATAGGGTGACCATGTGACAGAAATAAAAAAAGATGAGACATTTGACATAAGGGATTCTTTATTTATTATATTTAAAATGTAACTTATTACTGTTATTTTGAAATCATGAGATCAAATAACGTAACTTAAGTACACAAGTATTAATATTATTTGTTAACACAAGTTAAGCTTCCATGGCATTTGGACCCCCAAAGAACTTTGTGCTTGGAACAGGCACATCTATTATTGCGACATTGATTAACAGCAGGCTTACAGTTACATTTTTGGAATCCCTGGCCACCGAAAGGTGACTGACTTGCCACAGCCTCTCTTAAAGAAATAAGGTTTTCTGAAATTTCATCGCCATAGTCTGTATCTGAGTACTGCAAGTCTTGGCGAGAAAACCAGTTTATAATTGTACCATACTTAGTTCCAACTTTATGAACGCCATTTCTTATGTCAACAATTATACCTTGAATATTTTTCATGTCCAAAGGCCCGCGGTCCACTTTGGGGATGCTTACCAAAACACTATTACCAATATCTAACTTTTTTTAATGGTAGCATCAATCATCTTTTCGGTTGCACGCTTAAGTCCTTTGTGTGCTTGGTCTCTCTCTAAATTTATATCCTGTTCAACTTTACACATAAAACATACCAATTTGGAGACAGAACCCTCTTTAACCAACATTATTCCGCATGTTGCATGTATAACATTATTGCAAGACTCACATTTGTGCGCTTCAGTGGCACTGTTATGGCAAACTGCACAGGTGAAGTTTAATTCTAAATTTTCAATATTTTCTGTCATCGTTGTTGTCACAGTTACTGTGTGTAGCTTCAGCTGATTCTCGCTCTCTTAAAGTTTCCAATTGCTCCTCTCTTTCTATAGTTAAAAGTATAGATGGTGGAATATCAGATCCATTTAAGCCCGATTTAGGTTCACTTCCAAATAAAGCTTTATATGGAGATCTTCCAGTTATTCTATGGAATGAGCTGTTTTTGAAATATTGCACAAAAAAACAGCCCACAGACCAGTTTGTTGATTTGTTTTCATGCATCCATGCTCGCAGCATATTTTCGATGTCTTGGTTGCTTCTCTCGACACTGCCTTGAGTTATTTCACCAGGTGGTTATAAATAAACAGTGAAATATCGACCTGGCTGATTAACTCCTTCACATTCTAAAGTTTCTTCGAAGTTCTTAACTTCACGACACTATCAAAGGAAGGTTGAGATGGCAACCGTGAGAGCTACAAAAATAATTTTTATTGCATACTTCCTTCACTAGACCTCTAATAACGCTAATAAAATACTACAGCCATTAGCCAATTTTCCTGGTCAATCAATCGTGAAAAATTAGTAGCTTCATCCTTTTCTAGGCAAGGCGTTGGACGCTTATTTCGTTGCATGTTAGGTATTCGTTAACTTACAGAACGGCTTATGAAACACACTGAACACACAGCCGCTTGGAGAACATGTAGTTTTACCTTCATGTTACGAGAGCCGTTGAATCATTCTTTTATTAGCATTTTGGCTTTAGCAATCACCTATTGGATTTCTTTTCATTTTACAGGCATCATAGAACTCGCTACATTTCTTACAGTGGTTTCAGATCTTCACCATACTCGGTTTTATTTTGTGTATCACAGGGATCAAATTTAGGTCCTCTCCCCTTTCTTTATTTCATTAGTGACCTCCATATCTGTTTAACCTGTCCTTCACACTGCTGTTTGCCCATGATTTGAAAATTTATGCTTAGATCAACAGCATTTATGACTGTCTAACCTTGCAAGCTAACCTGATACATATATTTGAACGGTGCTCAACTAAAGAATTATTTTTAATTGACGCCAAATGCAAGTTCTCTTCTTTTACCATGAAAATGTATACAATAACTTTTGATTATACGCTGGAAGGCTTTAGCTTAATACGTTGCTAAGAAGTAAGAGATACGGGTGTGTTGCTTGAGTTAAATTAGAATTCATTGATTATATTAATGCGATAGTGTCATCTGTGATGAAAAGTCTTGGTTTTTAAATATGAAATTGTAAAACATTTTGTAGTGAGATGGCGCTTAAGGATGGCCAATCAGCGATGTTGATCAGATTTCAAATGAGCTGAGGAGAACTTGTAATGGCCTCAAATTTCTTTTCAAACTCATAAACAGTTAAACAGCTTTATTAGCTAAAATTGACTTTCAGGTACTATCGAAAATTTCCCGCTTTTTACTTTAAAACTCTTATGTCATGATTAGGTCACGCATGCACTTTATATGTTCCAGCTTTGACAAAATGTTACTACAATGCCAAGGACGCAAAAGCGTTTTTGAAAATCGGTCCAGCACCAGCGGCGAAAAAGGTCAAAAACAAAAAATTAACATCGCTCAAACTTCGATTTTTTGGGGTTCCAGACGATCCTGATCACTTTCTGAAATTTTTGTGTCGTATCAAATTTTTGGCGTTGGTATATTTATACGCCTCCAATCTCAGTAATTCTACGCACACATTACGCATAGGTCACTCATCATAGATATCTCCTAGAGTCGGGTGTCGATACGTGTGACATGATCTCTCTATGGACAACCGTCGTTGTACGTGGTCATACCTTAGTCAGCAATCGCTTCCGCACTGCTGTGAGCTGTGTACACTGCGATGAGCTCTAATATCGTCATTCACACAAGATTGGTTATCGCAACGACGAACATTTGGAAGGGGGGAGGTCATTTAACTTTTTCCTCGGAAGGTTTAACTTTTGCCAAACATAATCTTTTATATACAGATTTCAGCGCAGCGTATGAAGTACAGAGGCAGCTTACTTGACGCAATTTTTTATTTTATTTGTATGCATGTAACATATGTGAGTAAAACGTGTCCTGTTTTTGGCTTATCCTATATCAGCCCAGAACATGATTTGTGGACAAAAAAAATACCTTCATTACGATTACATGTTACAAAAACAAATCACACGATATTGTATCCTTAGTTTTCTGTTAAAGTACTGTTAAACTAGCTGGTTCAATTCTTGATGAGCACTTTGTTGTTCAATATGGAAACTTGTTCTATTTATTTTCAATTCCACTTTATCAAGAATACTCACTGAATACTGGGTTTATTATTTCTACTATGCTTATATAGTCTTATTGTCTATCATTTCAAATTTCAAGCTTCATTGGTCTAGAGATGACCTGCCAGCTAGTCGTTGCTAAAGCACTTATTATTCTAACAATTTGGCAGGTTTTGTATACGATGTCCGACATTCGCAAAGTACGTTGGTCCAAAGTTCGTCAGTAGTTCACCTTCAACCATCAAAGTACAAAATCCTGAAAATAGAGCATTTGAATTTGATGCGAATTTCATAGTATGGTTAATGACCGCCGAAGACTATTAATTTATGAAATTGTTATCTTTTGACTTTAGTCATGAACACTGCTTTATGAGCAGAAAGCGATGAAGTACAAGAATAATTGTCTTTATAATGTACAAAGGGTAGGTACTATAAAAGTTTTGCAATATGACTTAACAAGCGTAAGCGGCATGTTACAGCATGTTGAGACATGTCGATGAGTGCATCATAGTAGCCACCAGCAGCTCCTCTGTCTGACTCGTATTGACAGTGTAAAGTGCGGACTATGGCATCGTGGTCACGTAGGGCAGTCTTACGGTATAACTTTACGCGTGGTTTACGCATAGACCAGTGCTTAGAAGAAATGACGCTTGCATTAAAGAACGATTGTCCTCATCTTACGACTATATTCAGGTGATACAGAGAATTCCAAAGGGGAAATTTCACTCTGGAAGAGGCTGAGAGGAAAGAAATACCGCGAACGTCAGTAACAGAGGAAAACATTACTGGAAAATGCTTGACGAAGACCCGAGAGTGACATATCAACAGATAGTGGAGACCTTACACCTTCATGCACCAGCAATTCATTGAATTCTGCATGATGATTTACACGTAAGGAAACTTTGTTCTTTCTAGGTACCGCATAGTCTGACGGAAAAGCAGAAGACTCGTCGTACCACTTGGTGCCGAAAGATGCTGAAAATGTTTGATAAGGGGCAATGTGGGTATGTGAACAGCATCGTGACAGGTGACGAGTCTTGGCTCTATTAGTATGATGTGCAGAACAAGGCTCAAAACAAAATTTTATTTTTTCATGACGAGAACACACCCGTAGCTGTCAGAAAATCCCAATTTGTTAAGAAAAAAATGATAGCTGTATTTTTTAAATTGAGCGGGATTGTGAAGCGTGTGGTTTTGGACACACAGAAGACAGTCACAGCTAAGTGGTATACGAACAGTGCCTGCCTAAAGTCATAGAGTCTATGAAAAACCTATGGCCAAAGCCAATAACGGACACTTGATACCGCCACCATGACAACGCTCCAGCTCACCACGCCAAAGCCTGCACCGAGTATTTAACCACTACTGGACTGAAACTTATTGAGCATCCTCCTTACAGTCCAGATCTTGCTCCTGCGACTTTGCACTGTTTCCGCATGTGAAAATGAAGCTAAAAGGAAAATGGTTTTCTAGCCATGAGGACCTTCTGAGGGCTTGGAACAACGAGTGTGCCGCACTCGAGCGTGAAACTTGGCAGGGTTGGTTTAAGGATTGATTTTGGGGGATGGAGAAGTGTATTGAATGTGGTAGAAATTGCTTTGAACGAAGTCAATAAATAAAGCTGTACTGCAAAACTTTTATGACACCCCTTTTATATGTTACGGCTAAATCTCGAAATGTGGTGACAACTAGGTATGGTCACTCATGGGCAAACCTAGTATTAGCCGGTTGGATTCGGTTAAAACTAGGACCAACCAACGTGATCCCGGCTAAACCTAGGTCTAGCCAATCCTTAGTGGTTAAAACTAGATTTAAACGTTACAAGCAGGTTTAGACAACGTTATAGTACCGAAAAATATTTAAGCTTGATTCACATACTCCTAAATACTTTAATTTTGTTATTACGAGTAGGTTATAATAAAGTTTGTCAAACGTTTTAGAAAAGTCAAGAAGTAGCAAAACACTGGCATTACCCGTGTCTGCAGTGGTGATGATATCATCAGCTACAGACACAAGGGGACTGTTGTGCTGAACCCTTCTCTGAATCCTTGCTTATCAGGAATTAAATCATTTTCACACAAGTAATTCTTTAGCTGGGACGAAACGATTTTTTGAGGAGGTTTGATTGCACCGGTAGCAAATGGATCTGTCTTAGGTCAGTCTATGACTCTGGTATGGAAATTTTCGGGACAGGAATGATCAGTAATGTTTCCATGAGTTTGGAAAATATTCTTTTACTAGACATTGATTTAATGTATGTGTAATACGATAATTAATCATTAGAAAACACAGTCTGATCAGTTTGGTTGTAATACCATCTCTTCCATTATCAGTAGAACTTTGGAACAAAGGCCAGGCGCACTAGTTACTCTGGTTACATTTCCTAATAAATGAAGTAGATAAACTCTCCCCACTTCCAAGGTTTTTCATCTATAATTTTTTTTTCAAAAATCTTCTGGATACTATGAAACTTCTAAAAACGAAGCTGAGTGTTTTTTATTATTTTTCGCCTTTGGCCTTTTTCTCTGCCGCCTCTATATTGATTTTCAAAACCTACAAAGCTTTTGCGTCCTCGGCATCGTAGTAACATTGTGTAAAAGTTTCATGACAATCCCAGCAGTACTTCATAAGTTATAGTCTGTTATAAAATCGATTTCAATGATGGCATAATTGGAATTTCAATATGACGTTTTGATTCTTGTCCTTTATGATCAACTTAATTTTTTCTTATGGGTGTCATAATGGAATTTTGTACAGCTAAATGATTATTATAAAGCTATAATTATCAAAAAGACCTCCTTTAGCAGAGAATTATATTAATGTAATTAGCCCAGCATTCCTTCAAGTTTTTTGTGAACATAGTTAAAGAATTCAGATTTTAATGATGCATATAACACCGTACTGATTGATATTATGAATCTTGAAATGTTTAAAAAGTGAACTTTCTATCGTTGGACGCAATTCAGCGAACGGAGAACAACATACTGCTAACTGTTCCATATTACTCTAA